CCTGCACGCTAGGTGGCGCCGACCAACAATGCATTTTTCCTCAGATATGTATCTCGTATATGGATTTAGCATCTAAATTAAGATAAACAAGGTTTGGTTCTACACCAGAAACACAAACTATCTATAATGCTTACAAGAATAGGCTACATACTAAAATATAATTAGAAGTACAATTAGCATCAAGCTACACCTGAAAATGTATGTAATTATTAATGTATTTGCTTAAAATCATTAAACCATCATCGAGTGCTTGTAATAACTTCCAGTTGTGATCTATAGTTGATTTTGATTAATAAGCAGACACATGCACTCTTTGTATGTTTCATAATTCTACACTGCTAATATTTGTCATAAACATCCTTTATTGCTATAAAAAAATACCATGCATACAAAACACATACAGAAAATGTATCGTCATAATCATACGTCTATTTGTGTCTATATATCTATAACATTCGCGAACGTGGAAGAAAATGGACGGTGCTCTATAGATCACAGTGATTCAGTGGAGAATTAATAAAAATGTTATTCTGTATAAAGAACATGCGAGAATAAATCTGTTCTGAAATACCAACGATAACAAGAACTCAGCATGCACTCTCTTCTCTTATCCGGGGTACTCCTCTTCGGTGTTTGTTTACATTGGTTTTTTGTGCAACAGCAGCTGCTCCGGTCACGTGATGCTTGCTCAAATCTTATTGGACAGCCCGTGTTGTCGCTTTGCGAAACTGAAAAGATTCATCGGACTGGTTGGAAAAAAAACATTCGCATTTTCGGTGCGCGAATGTTCGCGGTCTATGTGGAAGCATCCATAGAAATCGATTGTTTTATTCCAGCGCATCATCGCGTCCGATATTCGTTTAACTTTTTCGCGCTCAGTGTGGAAAGGCTTTAATATCGTTATAAATCATTCTATTAAACATAATGATATTCTTTATGGTAAAGAATCAATTCTATCTGTCTGGTTACCATATTTTATTTTTCAAAATATAGGATGAGGACGTTTTTGAAATTGTTCAAAAACAATTTTCAATTGTTGTTGAAAAAACAAATATTTCCATACCTGAACGACATATTTTACAGTCACCGTTATGCTGATTGATCATAAACACAGCTAAAAGGCTTCCTACCACAGTGGCCATCCTTCACAAAACTTATATCTACTACAGTTTTATCATAGGTAAAATGTTTCAATACAAGCATTTCAGTCAAACGTAATTTATGCAATATTTCAAACCTTTTAACCCACGGGAGAAAATCAACCCGCCGCATCGGTTTAAAACCAGCCCAATTCCGTGGAACAAAAAATGCGGATTTGGCAACCCTACATCCAACACGAGCTACCTCCAAAGCAATTTAAGTACTCCGCATATTGATAGCGACTCCCTGATGCGCGAAAATTATATTCAATATAAGAATGTTTTGCGGGAGCAAGATAATAGTCCCACGCAAGGCTTTAATACAAAAACACACACAACGAATGGCGACTGTAGAAAGTCTGAAAGTCCGAATCCCGGACATTTTGGGTGATTTAGAAATCCCGACCAGACGCATTGACATGTCCGGGGAAAAGAGGACGTATGGTCACCCTAGTTATGGATAGTAAAATAGGCATTGTAAATTATATATATGGTTATTTTGGGGAGGATACAGGGTGCGGATGCATGTAAGCACAATCTTCTGCTGACTAGGATTTCTAAATGGAATTTTTCACAGGTTCTGGTGAACATGTGTGTATATATATATATATATATATATACTGAACAAAATTATAAACGCAACACTTTTGTTTTTGCCCCTATTTTTCATGAGCTGAACTCAAAGATCTAAGACTTTTTCTATGTACACAAAAGGCCTATTTCTCTCAAATATTGTTCACAAATCTGTCTAAATCTGTGTTAGTGAGCACTTCTCCTTTGCCGAGATAATCCATCCACCTCACAGGTGTGGCATATCAAGATGCTGATTAGACAGCATGATTATTGCACAGGTCTGCCTTAGGCTGGCCACAATAAAAGGCCACACAGCATATGTATGGTGATTTGTGGAATGGGTATAAACACTACACCTTTTTAATGAGCTGGAGCAATTAATGATATGTTGAACATAAATACAACTGAGGGATACATTACACAACATCAAGTTCAGCATAAATTATAAAACTGCTTTATTAGAGTCCTTTCAATAGAACAGATGTAGTCCAACACTGTGAGTCACTGAGTCATAAAACATCTTTAAATATATACAAAAAAAATCTAAAACTGGGTTTGATGGCTGTTAGCTTTGCTTTGTGCAAAAGAAATTTCCCTTAGAAAATTAACATTTGTATAGCGTCATCAACTATGGGAAATCCAGTGTTACAGTCTGGACTGTACATTAATTTAAAAAGGCAATGCATGAGTAATATCTATGACTGAAATACATTTATTACATTTAAATTTATTTACAGTGTAAAACACAACCTTAAAAAAAACTATAGGGTAACAACAGTAGCTACTTTCATTGACACTGATCATTATATCAATTATATAAAAATTTTTAAAAAGTATTTAAAGAACATTAGAGTAAAACATGCCAAAAACAATCCCTATTTGTCCATATTTAATAATGTTTCTTGAGTGCTTCATGATTAAGTCAGTATTTTATACTTACATTAATGAGGAAGTGCTTTTGTGCTCCACAGCCGAAGACTTGCTTTGATCAAAATGTTCGGCTACTAGACAAGCTCTCAAAATGTCCTTGGTTTTGTATTACCTACATGTAAATTCCCACATCAGCAAATAAAAAAAAAACAGTTTGATGATCAGTTTTTCTAAATGAAGGGGGAAAAAATCACTTGTAATCGCTGCATGTAAAGCAATCTGCTTTCACTTTCATTTTGTCAGCAAGGTTGCCAAATATGTTTGAAAAAAAACATATCATCATAGTTTTTACACCGTTTGGTTGCGACAGTGACTAGAGACATTGATAAGACTTTATAATTAAATTTTTGGTGACACTTTATAATAATGATCAATTCTAAGTAATTCAAAAATGTTTTGCTAATGGTTAACTAATCATTTAAACAATAATATACATTTATAGATGATTAATAAGTGATGTTTTAAGTCATCCAAAAATGTTTTTGTATGTCAAGAAATGATCGTATCATTAGTAAATGATTATCATATCATTAACTAAATTATTGATATATTATAAATTACTTATTTTCACAAATTTGTTGCTGTGACTATTATTACATTACATTGCTCTAACATTTTCGATGTTGTTCACAAATAGTTTTAATCAATTTTAACATTAACACAGCAGAAAAGACATATGGGCTCCCAATTTTTGTAAATCAAAATAACGCAAATCTGTAGTGCAGATTGAATGCATCTTGATTTAAGAATGTTTAGGTCTTTTTTGGACTGGAAACAAGACAACAGAAGTAAGAAAAGCATGTTTTGCAGTTCAGATGGAGATGCATCTTCCTGAATATTAAACCGCTGAATCTGTAAATGACTGAAAATTACCCGTTCAATATTATAGGTAATATATATATATTTTTAAACAGACTAAATATTTTGGAAATGAAATCTGGAAGGTGAATATGGATTAGTGCATTTTTAATAATGAAATTGTGTATAAATGTATTCATTTAAAATAGCTTAAATACAGAAACGTTAAATTTCAGACCCAAAAATGCAAGCCCTGAAAATACAATGTATTCAAATGCCAGCAGTGTTAATGCTATCCATTTAATTTTGTTTCAAAGTCATGTTTCACACACTGGAACATTTTAGTCATGGTTATAAAACTGATTTACCCTACCAATAGTGTTCAGGCAGTGATTTATCACACAAATATTGTAACTATTTACCTTAACCTCTACAGAGAATGTGTGAATCATTCATTATGATTACAATAAGAGCTTAACATTACAATATATTGATAACTATTATGATTAAAGCTAAGATTAACATTGATTATACATAAATGAATACAGATAGGCCCATAATCCATGTAAGAATACACACTTAGCTATGATATACCAGACGACTGAAGAGAGATGTAGTTTTTACTGAACAGTCAGACATAGAGCAGTGATAATAGCGATTTGTCACGATTAACTGACTAGCAAAAGAAAGCAAAGCACCAAGATGATCAGAGAGGAAGCAGTCGAGGCACTGGAACTGCAAAATATGTCCAGACACTCACTGAAAGAGCAGAGGTACAAATGGGAAGATAAACATTATTAATGCAACAGAAAAACACTCATTTAACTGCATATATTTTAATAATGTACATTTGTAAGGTGCGTGCAATAAATAAGTTCACAAACAAACGACAGAAATCTTAGCAGTTGTGTGAAAGACATTTATTTGAGTCAGATCCTGATCCACAGAATGGCAGGTTTTGGATTTTGTGTTTCAGGATTTGTTTTTAAACAATCTGGCATTATTATATGGTGACACTGCGGGTTTATGCAGATGTATTTGGAGGTTATATCCTGCTTTTGGCCCTCAACATATATTTTTCACTTTAGTTCAAAATCACGCTCATTGTTTGGTGCAGTAACACTTTATATGAGGAAGACATATTCAGTTTTTACAACTTTTGCCTCAATAAACTCCCAATTTACTGGTTATTAATAGAGCCCGACCGATATATATCGTTCTGCTGATATTATCGGCCGATATGAGCCTGTCACCGATACATCGGTATCGGCGAATATGCCGCCGATATGAATTTTTTTTTTACAGAACATACAGTATAATGCAGATAAAATGCTTGAAATGGTGTAATGACTTAGTTTGTCCAGCAGAGCGCGCTCCATTGTTTGCTACTGGCGACCTGGATGAAAGTGAATCGAGTGTACGTCTCGAGGCCCTCTTTCGAATGAGACCACCCCCATGTCGATAGCCCCCGGGGTTCGGGAGTTACGGGCGGTTAATTTCGCGGTCCAGCGCCGACCAATCAAGCGATCCCGGGGTGCTACCGACACGCGGAGGGTGGCGTTCGAGAGGCTCCTCGAGCTGAAGGGATCCCCCGAATTTGGTGGAGATCCGCTGGCGCGTTCTCGAGATAGTGACACCAGTCAACACTTTCACTTCAGTAAGGAGGTCTCTTGTTCAGGCAGCATTCAAGCGTGGTCTTATTCGACCGTAAGTGCCCTGCGAAGTGGACTTCACATGATATTCCACCATGATTCCAGTTCCAAGGGAACGTACAAGTTACATTCAAAGGGCATTAAAGTGCGCGAGACGTGAATTTATATAGTATATATTTACAGTGTTTATGTATATATATTCTGTTTATGTATATACTGTATTATATATATAGTACCAGTCAAATGTTTGGACACACGAATGGGAAAGTGTCCAAACTTTTGACTGGTACTGTACTATAATATACACAAAGAATATCGGCCGATATATCGATATCGGCCTTTTTTTACTCCCTAATATCGGTATCGGCCCCTAAAAACCCATATCGGTCGGGCTCTAGTTATTAATAGTTAGTTAGCTGGGATGTCACTTAATGACTTAAAAGTAATGTAAAGTGAAGTAATGTTGTAGTCTTACCCCTCAGTGGGCTCTGCTGTAGGTTCAGTGGGAGTTGATGTAGTTGTTGAGATCGGCTGAGGTGTGGGAAGAACTCTAAACAACAAACAAAAATACTGTTAGGTTTTTATCGTCAAACCGAGGAGCCATTCATCTAAAATCAATGTAGCCTAGTGAAATGTACATTCAGTTTAATTTAAAATAAACTATGTGCAAATATCCCGTCTTGCTGGCAAAGGCCGTTTACACTAACAGAACAAATAACCTTGAGTCCAATTAAACACAAAATAAAATGGAAGGCTATAAAATTGCACCCGTTTCTGAATGTTTCTTTATAGTATACATAAAAACCACAAACGTAACATTCTGTAGGCCTAAACGATATTATCATATTATAGCCTATAGTTTTGCTTCAGTTGGATGAGGAAAAAGTAATAAAAAGTAATATAAGTAATATTTATATAAATATTGTTGTTATGAATGGCTCTAGAAAGCACAATGTTTACAACAACAACAATGTAAATGGATTTCCCAAGTCCTTTTTACTAAGTATTTGTATCAATTATTTTTTAATTCATATTACATTGTAAATAGGCTATTTTATATTTTCTCAAAATCACAGCATTAAACGTCCAGTTAACAAATGATCAAGACACTATCATAAAACAATGTTAATTCTATGTTAAATAGGTCTATATAATGTAACAATCTGTAAGACTAGTCATATTTCAAGACCTGATCTACAGCAGCTGCTGGCTGTTGAGCTACAGAATGTTGTTTCATGCGCCACCTGCTGGATATTGTGTGACACACAACAAAATTATTTTATATGTTATATGATATAGCATAATATGCTGACTGTCGGGATCACAGGAGTCGCCTGCACCTCTGATTCACATCTGTACCAGTTGTTGGACGGTTTATAAACTGAACAGAATTGTGGTGAACTAATCAGAGATATTAAAGTACACTGTAAAAAATGACCGTGAATTTAACGGTAAAAAACTGTAAAAATGCTACAGTAAATGTACAGTCTAGGAACTATTAACATGCATTGAGGAGAACCGGTCAATGAACTTCTCCTCCTCCAGATCACCACCTGTTTATCTTTTGAGTTGATTCTGGAGAAAGGCTCTTCTGCACAGCAGCGCATGGAGTTTTTATATACAGTATGTCGTTTCATTCTACCGGCTGTATATTAATATACTGTATATCTTTGCCTGCATTAAAGGCATTGAGAATCTTTCCGTTTATGACTGATAATGCTGAAAGCTAAAGCGATTGTGACTTTCATTATATAAACGTTCAGATTCAATACTGTATTTTCCTATCAGTTCTCAGAAAGGCTTTTACCTTTAAAGGAGGTTAAAGAATAACAAAAACTTAATTATATTGGAGTCAGATAAATAACTGAATTATGCATGTCATCCGTTACCTGCATTTTGTTATGATTATCAGTTCAAAACAGTAACATAAGCTTCCAGCCTTACATGTGTGACTATATTCACACAATACAGCATGTCTCTCCTACGTTATTTCTTAAATATAGTGTTTATTTTTAAAGAACTTATTTTAAGTTGTGTATTTTGAATAAGAGTGCAGCAGAGGTTAGAAGGAAACTCACCTTGTAGCACATGGTCCCTGCTGGGCGCTTGCGTCAGCAGAAACGTTGAAGTTCTTCACGGTTACTTTAGGGCAGGGTAGAGAGTCATTCTGAAGAAGCGCTGAGATGTCTGGATTGATGAACAACATTTATAGAGATGATTTTAGAAATAATGCTCCATTTGCTCTTAATACAGCAGTTAAACTTGTTCTCTGAGGTTCCTTCACAAATCCCACCTTGCATGGTGAAGAGCAATATGAGGTCTCCACCCTTGATAAACTCTCTTCTAGCGAGATCTTCTCTTGTTAGGAGCTTAAAAAAGGCAGGTCCATTATAAAATACTAACTCATCACTGATGAAGACTGGACCTTTTCGAGGGCTGTCCCAGAAATAGGTGCCTTAATTAGAACAAAACATGGCTTTTAAAACAACCTTAAAAACTACAGATAATAACTTTGATTCTCATCTGAGTAAAATGTTGCATAGAAAAATAATCAGATTGCATTAAAGATCTAACCATAACGAGTCAAGTTAGGGTCAGTGGTGATGCTCTGCTCAAAGGACATGCGCTTCTGTATGTGTGGATTCTGGTCCAGGATCTGGACGGTGATTTGCCTCCATGGACAAGGCCACTGCAGCTGCTCATCATATGCACCAGTTACGAAAGCAGCATGTATTTCGAATTCATTCACTGATGACACCTCTAACTCAGCTGCAAAGCGATACCCATCACTGGAGCAATACATTGGACTCAGACCGAAATCAAACCCGCTGTCCAGTTTCTTCTCAAAGTCTCTTATCTGCCATATGAAGGGACACTCTGTCTCTGAAATATTGATATCGTCCAGTGAGAAGCCTCCACTGGAGGTTCCAGCTCCTTTACGCGCTTCAAACACAACTTGGAAAGACTTATTTGCGTTCAGCTGCACATGATGCAGCTTCCAGTAATTCCCAGGGGTTTCTGCAAGAAACCGAAGGTCAGTGACACTGAAATACAGGACTATATGTTGTGTGGTGTGTCCAGTTGTGCAGGAAGAGACGGACCTGTGATCTGATCCATGAGTCTGAGAGCTCCTGTGCTGTCTGCTTCATTCTGCAGCTCTCGGATCCAGATGTTGAGCTGGTCGGACTCGTTTCCGCTGTGATAGTAGTAGAACTGCAGACACTGGACTTTGCAGTCTCTCGTAGGGGTCACTGTCTTGCTCTCCAGTCTGGCTGCGTCGCCCTCGTTTCTGCCCTCAGTGCTGAAGTGCATGAAGAAAGACGTCCCTGCAGGCATCAGAACAGCTGTTAGTTTATGGTGGAACAGTGAAGTCTCTTCCTGTGATGTCCAAGCAGACACTTTCCATTTGCTGACTGACTGTGACGGGTCTCACCGTTCTGTTCTTTGCCCAAGTATGTGTGGTCGGTCACATTGATGCCACTCACTGACTTCTCTCTCTGCCAGCCGTAACCAGCAGCAGAACAGACGCTCATCTCACACAGAGATTCCTCATCAAAACTACAGTGGTCGAGGAAAGAGACGGAGGAATCTGTAATGCAAACCAACAAGCACTGAGGCTAAATCAGTTCATTACAATTACATTCATCAAAATGGTCCTTGGTCATCAAATATTGGTCCAGCTGCAACCGCAAGTTCATTTTAGTCTAACTTAGAATCCACAAAATAAGAAAACAACACATTAAATGAAAACGGTCAAATACTCACTGCATTTGTAGAGTTTGTTGAGCTCAGTCGCATCATGTTCGCTCATTTCCATTAGTTGTCCGATCACGTCTTGAAACTCAGGACTCTTGGTGATGATCGTGGATCCGTTACCGTTGCTGAAGGCATTTTTATCAAAATGCATCACAGAGTAATAATCAAATGGGGTTTCTTGGGTAGTGGACACGTTCTCACTGTGTTTACTGAAATAACTCTCATATCCTAAAAATAAAGAATATTGCAGTCATTAAGGTGATTGTTTATAAGGCATGGCTTGTAATACTGAGAGTCAGTATGGAAAGCAACCTTTCACGATGTTTTCATATTTGATTTGTCACGTAATCATCTCTGTCGTATCTCGAATGCTCGTGGTTCAATCCCAGTGCATGGAGAAACTGGTGCTCAACAATGCCTTTTCTTCCACAGTCCTTTCCAATGGAAAGAGTCTGTCCTCCAGGAGACGAGCGTCCGATATATGACCAACACCTGCGGAATAACTCACAGTCACACAACACATAGCTGCATAAAGGTAACAACATTACCAGACAAATTAGATTGCCTATACTTGTTATCAGGGGCATGTCTAGAGCATTTTAAATTTGGGGGGCTGTGGCACTGCAATAAGCACTTAACTCATAAGTATTAACTAATAAAATAACTAGAGAAGGCTGACTATAATCAGCGTGCAGTGGGACATACTCGTCACCTGAAGTAAAAAAGCTCTTCTGGTCTTCAATGATGCAAGGACAAATTTTGAGCGTGCTCAATATCTGAGAGAGCAGAGCCAATTCATGAGAGAACAATGTATCTCTCTATGGCTAGGAACTATACTCTCATTCCGGCGCAGCAAAGTTCCTTGATTATTACGCCGGAATGAGAGTATAGTTCCTCTGACTATAATCAGCGTGCAGTGGGACATACTCGTCACCTGAAGTAAAAAAGCTCTTCTGGTCTTCAATGATGCAAGGACAAATTTTGAGCGTGCTCAATATCTGAGAGAGCAGGGCCAATTCATGAGAGAACAATGTATATTTAAAAGCGCACGTCCAGTTTTGTGTGAAAGCGAAGAAAATCCGCTTGCGAGTGGAGAGATTACTGCGCTCTCGCCATTTATCATTAATTTAACAAAACGCTATAGAAATCGGCTAAAATTAAATATAAAGAGGAGAAGAAAGCCGTCCTAGCTGCCTATAATGCCCGTGCCAAAATCTACCACTGCCAGATGCAGGTAGAAATTTACTAAAAGCAAGCCAATCGCAAGACATCTGGTAGGAACGTGCACCTGGGGTGGCCAACAGATTTCAGTGGGGGCCGGTGCCACCCCTGGCCACCATGTAGACCCGCCCCTACCGAGGCCGACTGCGCACCACCTAGCGCCGAACCTTTATCAACAATCTCAAGCTCGCCGGTGTATCCTGGGATGAAGCTGAAGTGCTGGCAGAGGACCGACACCGGTGGGGAGACCCTAAGTGCCCAACATCACGGGAAGATCTAAGTCTAAGTACATTTCATTTCAGCAATTTAGCACACGTTGTGTCACTTCTTTGTTCTACTGTTTCAATTTCTAAAAAGCAATTAAAATGGCAATGACATAAATGTATAAACCATTTCATATTTCAATATATTTGTTGAATTTGACTACCATTCAACATTTTGATATCCTTTTTTTTACGTCTGCATTTATTTGATTAAAAAATACAGCAAGACTATAAAATATTTTTGCAATAAAAAAGAACTGCCTTCTATTTTAATATATTTTAACATGTAATTTTAAATCTAATATGCTGATTTACTAAAAGCAAGCCAATCGCAAGACATCTGGTAGGAACGTGCACCTGGGGTGGCCAACCAGATTTCAATGGGGGCCCCTGCATGTTATAACAACAAACTTTATAAAAACTGTGCATTTTATTTGATCTCCATTTAACAGTGGTGTATAAAGTACCTGACAACCATACTCAAGTAACAGTACAGATATCTTACCAGAAAATGACTTTGGTAGAAGTTGAAGTCACCGTTTAGACATGCCTCAAAGTGTCATCAGAATACATATCAGGTCAATAGGAAGTTATTTCTAACACTCGCTGGTGTCTAAAAGAGTGGTTTGAGCTGAGAAAATAGTTTAGATAAGTTCTGTCATGAATACAGTGACTAAGCATTGCGGACAGGAGAACATGTTAAAGTGAAATAGACATTCTCGCATGTTTACACCACATTTAGCTCAACGATATTTTCTAAGCGCAATGTTTTCGTGCTTTCTGCTGATTTCAGATGCAACGGTGTCAGAGTCAGAGCCCCATAAAAAGAAATAATCACCAAAATGATGCCGAGTTATTTTTATTTCATTAAAAGATATTTTAAACAGAAGCATGCCTTGGCTTGGCTTGCTTTATGCATATTTCTCAGAGAAAGATAAAATACAGCAATATCATGTGGATTTGTTTATGATCTTATTATTTCACTAAACAATAATTTTTTCATAACATTTTTAAAATGATACAATGAAATATTTGAAATAGCAGGCAATATTGTGTCTGAAATGTAAGTCACTTAATGCTAACTTTATCAAACTTTTATAAAATGAATATTACATTTGTTATGCTGATAGCCTATCTGGGGGAAAAAATGGCACTCTTTGTGTGATATAGATTAAGTTAACTATGAACTATATGAATATATGCAGTCCGTGTTCTTCTGACTATTTTGTAGTAAGTAATGAATATGCTTCGGGGAAATGTATCGGAGTAAAAGTATACATTTTAATTAGGAAATGTAGTGGAGTAAAAGTAAAAGTTGGCTGAAATATAAAAACTCAAGTAAAGTATAGATACTCCCAAAAAATACTTAAGTACTGTAACGAAGTATTAATACTTTGTTACATTACACCACTGCCATTTAATTACCATTGAACAATGTGTTTAAACACCTTATCTGACAAAAGCCTTTATGAGGAAAAGTGAAGTATCTGAACTTTTGACGTAACTCAAATAGTTTACTCTAGACTCTTCTGATATGGCAGGTGCTATAGTGAAATTGTATAGTATATTACTAGTATTTGTTGATTATTAGCTTGAACCATACCGTACCCTTTATGACTCTCCACAGAGATGTAAAACTCTTCTGCTGCTCGGGGCTTAAAGTCAACACATGATTTCAGTCTGAACTGCTCGAAGGCTCTCAGAACGACTCCTCTGTCATTCATACCTATAAAAACAAACAAAACTGAGTGGACAACAATAGAAAAGTTACATTCAATATTTAAAAGTTGAGAAATCTGAAATCTTACTGAGATTTACACTCAGCTCATAGGGGACAGGAATATCCCACAAGGACTGATCACCAATAGCGCTCCCTTGCCTAGGCTTTAAAGCAGATCAATTTAAGTGTTCTGATTACATGCGCACACACACACACACACACACACACACACACACACACCTCCATGATGTCTCCTT